ATATATTTCCCATTATTTTAACAGAAGCATCTTTTGGTTATGAAGAAAAGAGAGAGAAACAGAGGGCAGGTAAAGAGAGAGAAAGTAAGAGCGAGTCAAAACTCTAGAGATATGGGGATGCTTTGTTTTTTTCCTGTGAATTTTTGTTGGCTAATCTATTGGTTCACTTACGTAAAAATCCCTAGAGATGTCTAAACCTCCCAGACTTAGTGATAAAATCATAAAAGGAATCATAAAAGAAATTAGCCTTTGTTGAAGCACTCCTGTATGCCAGGAATGTGGCAGTAGCTTTATAGTTATTAACTGAAGTTCAAAGAGATAAGGAATATATTTATGCTTACATAACTTGTTAGTGTTGGAACTGGCATATGATCGCCTAATCTTTCCTTGCACTAGATTGCCCAGGAGTGAAAATGCTACTCTGGAAGGTTTTGTTTTTTGTTTTCTATATTTGCTTGTCTTGATATTTCCTTTTCATCACTTGGTGAAATACAAGATTATAGATACCTGTAAAAAAAAAAAAAGCAAACAGTACAAGTAAGATATTTGGAATTACCGTACTTGAAATAACTTTGTAAGGTTTATCCCTCTCTTTCACAATAAAAACCTTTTTATAATCACTTTATATGTGTGTAAGGAGGAGGAAGGAAAAATAAGTGGAAAGATTTCCACTTGAAGTTATAAAGTTGAGTATTATCAGTAAAGAGTTACGCTAAAAGTTTTATTGAGCCCAACTTGGTTCACTAATTATATATTGAGGACATACTGGTCTCTAGATTGGGTATTGCCGAACCAAGATGGAAAGAAATAGAACATGAATGACATAAGGCTTTAGAACCTATGAATAGAAAGTCACAATGGAGATTATAAACGTCAATTTCATATTGAGAAAGAAGATACAATAAATATGGAAGATCTTTATTTAAAGCAACTGGGCTGATTCTAATAGAGTTCTATATTATTTCATAGGAGAAACATATACTTTAATTTTTATTGTAAAATGTTTTTGTATAAGCACACACAAGGAGATTGTTTTCCTTTCTACTGTTAAGATTTCTTTGAGATGTATGGTGGCTTTGGCTTTCTTACAGAATTGAATTTTAGAGGTAAAAGAAGTATAAAATGTTTTCTCAGCATGAGAAAATAGGGTTCCCGCTTGATAAAAGTGAGATGAGCAGGTCATTTAGCTCTCCTAGGAGCAAAGGGCATGATGGAGTCAGGGCTGGCCAACTCTAGTCTCTGCTCTTGGTCCAGCTTTGTTTTCCACCTGCATTCCAGGGAACTATGGGGCAGTCTTTCTCTCCATGGTGTAGAAGGTAGGGAGGTATAAACGCCACCAATTAATTTGCATAGGTGAAGAATAAAGATAATTGGACAAGAGAGAAAAATTGAGGATTGATCATTGCTTTCTTTCTTTTGTCTTCCTTTTCTTCTCTCTTCTTTCTAAAAGATAATTATTAATTCTGCCCTAAAAGATAGTTATCTACTGTAACACAATAAAGAAATCACTATTTTAAATTACATAAATATGAAATTAATATA